ACCCGTGTAATAACTATTGTCCAAACCAGCTTCATGAAGATCAATTATAACCTTACGTTGAATAAGCGCTTTACAATAATCATTTGTTGTAAGATCAATTAACTTGGCATCACATTGAACGGGATAGCTTTCAAGACATGTACCAATCTTAAGTTGAAATTTATGCTCATCACAACCACCACTATACTGAACATTTATTTCGATCGTTTTTGTCTTGCTATTGTAACGTCCATCTTTAATGTTAGGTGTGTTTTGAGTGAATATTATTGTAAAAAAAGTTAAAAGAACAGTGATAGTCAAAATTGATTTCATATCAAATGCTTCTTGTAGTAGTCGAACTAGAAGTTAATTTGTGTGCTTCTAAAAATCACAAATGTGATATATTATTAAACAATGACAGCAAATAAGAACATTTTTCTGTATCTAAATGCTCTATCATCAATCCAGCTGTGCCTATATCACATCGAAAATAGTATTTATCAAGGACAGAAAAAGGGAGATATCATTTAGTCTAAACGCACTTCGAGGTGTCTGCGTATTATAAAAAATTGATTAAGAGGCAGATAAAAAGAGACACCAAGCTCACAGCACACCTATAACAAAATGGAATAAGCTAATTCACACTTTTCAAATATTTTGGTGTGACAATCACCCATAAAAGACATATAGAACATAATGCATTTTCACCACCTTCAATTTTCTTTCAACATTCTATATTTCAACTTTATTTAACAAAATTATTTGCAACCAAATATCAAGTAAATTAGGCTTATGCTTGTAATTGAATCAACGATTCATGTTGGGTCGACAGAGTAACGATCTAACCAGGGTTGCCATCTCATAAGGTCTCAAATGGGGTACAAAACGTCCCTAATGGGGTACATGTGAGGTACAAAATTTCTCTAAATGGGGTACATCCATGGGGTACATAGGTTTTCTGAAAATTCAGGGTAATGCTGTGAAAAAATCACTGAGAAAAAAACATCGTTTCGTGAAAGACTTTATATTGACCTTTTCCCTTGCAAAAAATGGCTGAAAATATTGTTTTTTTTCCTAAAAAAGAAAATGAGAAATAAAGTGTTTTTCCGCGAAAAAGCGCTTCAGTAAATCCATTGAAGATGTTCAATTAAAAAAGAACGTTGACTATGGTGATTAAATGGCGTAAATCTTGTTATATCAGATTGGTACGAAAGGATGGAAGATTTTTACATTAGAGTTCGAGTAGTTTTTTCTATCGGTCTAATGATGTGCCAGAATTTTGTCGCTTCCAATCAGTTTTCGTGCAAATAGGTGAAATTCAGAATAAGTTAGTAAACTCTTCAGGATTCAGATTATTTCTCTCCACATCAGAACTTTCATACAAACTGCTACAAAACGTATGTAATGTTCGAAACCTGCTCAAGAAAAGACATGTTTGCACATGAACAAAAACTTTTCCTTACAGTTTTGTCGTGAAGACAGCTATGCTTGTAAAAACTTGTTTAAAAGTAAAAATCTTGACGAAGAAAAAAAAACAGATTTTGGAGAAAAAATTAAAAGAAGTAAAGTCTTTTTTGTCGATTACATCGACGCAAATATTGACTTTCCCTGAAGCAAAATGTATGCATTTTTGCTTCCAAAAGTGGACGGCTCTGGTGAAAATTGTTACAGCTAAAGCTATGCAAACAGAAGCGGAATTAGTATGTTGAAGAAAAGCGTTATTTACTTATGCATGAAGTACGTCCGCGTAGTTCTCAAACATTGCAAAGCAAAAAATATTCGCATTCATTTGTGACTTTCTCTTCTTAAGTTATCATTTAACTTTGAATTTTGTCGAAAAGAAGCGTTTGAGTTCTCAATATTGTGAAATGGGTTTCCTCGGACGACTTTGAAGAGATCATATTCGATTTTTCAGAAACCTATCGAATCAAAACCTGACCCACTAGATTTGGGATCTTCTCGATTAGCTCATTCTATCTGTGTTACTCTCTTGCCAATCGATCATTTCTGTTCGAGCCATTATAGTAAAAGCCTTAACACTTCATTTTATTGCTCAATGAAAAATTCAAATTGAATTTCAACATACTATTAAGAAGTCAAGAAAGAGACAAATTCTAATAGAGGCAAACTTTTGACATTTGTAAGTCACTTAAGTCAATTCACATCTGTAGAAAATGATTCAAGGCTTTACAGACCGTTTTTGAGATTTCTGTTAAAAAGTGACTCAAAAGTAATGTAGAAAAAAAAATTCAAATGGGGTACAAAAATGTGTACCTCAGCGGTACAAATTTTTGTGGGGTACGAAAGGTCGAAATGGGGTACTGTACCTCAAAATGGGGTACAGATGGCAACCCTGGATCTAACATACCATTCTGGAGTTAATTCCGATAAATTACTTTTACTGTTTTGAAATACTGCAGGATGTTTACAATATAAGGTGAAATGAATAAGTGTTGGAAATCAATCAAAAATCTTTCCAATTTGCTTGATTAAATGACGAGCAGAAAGCCATAATTTTGGATGTCCATCAACATCCAATGTCAATTGTTTCAATACAGGCGATGATGATGATGATGAATGACTAAAAAATAGTATCAATTGTTTTAATAAGATCACGAAGTGAACAATTAGAATCTTGTGAAGTAAAATAAAGTATTTCAAATTGAGATACAAGTAAAATTCCAAGTTTGACATTCGATGAAAGAATGCGACCAAAATCAATATTTGTATCAATATAAAGTTCATGAAAATGTGATGAACGTTGAGCTATATGAAGGAAATGTA